GCCTCGTTGTTTCGTGCTTTTGACTGCTTTGGTTTCGCCACGTTACACATCTGCAAATTAATATAATCTCCACTGCCGCATGCCTTTCTTCCTCTCTTCTCCTGGGTGATTCTCTTACGGTATGTTAAACTTCAGATTGACTAGTTACGGCCATGTTACATAACCTCTTTTAAATTAATATAAGGCCCATTTTGAGTGACTCCTTTGAATATCAGAATTACTCATTGATTATCCCTTCAGTGAGAAAATTTCCTGACTATCTTAAACAAAACAAAAAAGTCCCTTAAAATAGAATGAGGTTACTATTTTTAAATTACTGTTTATGTGCGAATAACACATTACAAGTTGGAAGATAGGAACACATCCCTTATGAAAATGTCGCATGTCAAGTGTTTTCTTTGTGGTCTCATGTGTAAATTTATTACCCAGTGTTTCTCTGACAGCGCGTTTAGACAAAAATCGAGAAAAGATGTATAATATAATTCATCCGTTAGCAGATATTGCTGTGAAACATCCTTATTTGAGCTTAATATCATTTGCAAATTAAAACTAAATAAAAGTTGAGATTGTCAAGCTAATTTGGAAATGCAACAATAGTAACAGATGTAATGAGAAGAAATATATTTTTTTTCTTGAACCTTTCGGGTGGGGGGGGGGGGATCAATACGCAAGGCACGTCATTACCAATTAGCTAGCAGTCTAACTCATTGCAAAACTTATACATTCGCATATTATTTCCATAGCCTTTACAACTTACTATTAATTAACGCATCACCTTTATTATAGTCTCGTGCAAGCACTTTCACAACTCCGTGGCATTCCCAGATGACTATCATATGTCATACAACACATTTCAGCTTTGATCACCACACCCACTCATATAACCATCTATAACTCGCCACTTCATTTGCTACTGCAAATGAAGTCATCGAAGCAGATATAACTTTTTTGTATGCGGGACACCACCTTTAATTCGCATTTATCAGCCCTGCCGTAACAACGCAGTGACGTAAAATACTTCGGCTTCTCGCTGTATCTTCTATAGACAATTTATCTGACCATTTTTACAATATTTGTTTTGCAGTTCATATCTTGATTCTTGGATACCATGACAAATTACTTTAAGGTATTAGTGGATGGTGATGGGAACTCAAATAACAGTAAAGGTGTGGGTAAAGGGTATAATGTAAGTAGTGATGTGATAAAAAAAATTGCATATGTGGGAGATAAAGGGTACAGGTTGTGATTATAGTGGCGAAACTCTTATTTATTTTACAGTTTTTTGCTCAATGGCAATTTATCGGTGCTTCTTATTTTATTTTCATTGTGCTTCTTTGTTTCGTTATATTTCATAAATCCTATAAAACGCAATTTTAATCACAAAAAAAAAAAAAACTTACAGAATACGGCTGCGATATGCTTGGCATCCAGATCCCAGAGGGAAAGCAGGGAACTTCGAACTCCGACCCTGTGTCCCTCCCTCTTGGTGCTAGAATGGGCTGGGTGGCTGTTCAGGTGTTTATATGTAAGTATTAGTCTTTTATTGTGCATATATACCTGCATGTGTATATAATTGTAAGAATTTACGGAATTTGTTTAAAATTCACCGAGAAAAATGTAAATAATGTGCTAAAATCCTGGCCCTGGGAAAATAATGCCTTACTAGGAATCCTTGTGAGAGTGAAGGTACAAAGTTCCTACACGATGGGACGTATAAGATAGAAGCAGTATGTGACCGTTATTAAAGAGACTTCTCTCACGCAGTTAATAGAGAATAGGAAAACGTGAAGAATGTTAGAAAGCGATATGAAGCTTAGTAAAACAAAGGGACAGTCATTATTATTATTATTATTATTATTAATGCGAAGTATGAACCGTTTGGTTCATTCAACGCAAGGTGAGGCTTAATCTTCCATCCGCTGTTCATGAAACGGACGTTTTAATCTCGCATCCAGCCAGCCAGGATGTAATTCCTAAACAGAATTCACATTATTCCATGATTATGGTGGTAGAATTTGATCTTGATGTATTCGTGAATAATAGCTACTACACGTAGCACTCGCAAAAAATGGCTGCAGTAAATGTTGGAAAATATACTTTAATATTTATTCTAGACTAAGTGAAAAAACTATTTCAGTTGTCTAAGTGCAGGTAGGTACGTGTGTATCAAGTATGTATTGTAAAATATTTAATTTTGGTAGTGTAGCGATACATTTTTGAAGTCACCAACAGCCTCCCCTTATGGGAGGTTCTTTGGTTCTTTCATGCCAGTGAGGGATTCCTGATCTGGACCTCACCTTTTCTTTTTTGGATCGGACGTCATTGCCATCCCTTCATGACTTGTATACACAAATAACCCGCACATAAAAGAGAGAAGCTTACGACGACGTTTCGGTCCTGAAAAGTGTATATTGTGTGTAGCAAAGGATGTATGGGAAAAAAATAAGGTTTCATTTTTAGGACCTCCATAAATGCCATACAGTATTACCCAAAGCATTTTTTATCTTAACCTGTTGATATTCAGGTAGGTGGGGTGGTTTAATGTGGTCCTATACAATACCTGTAAACATGTTCCACGCGGTATCTACTACAAGCACCTTTATCTACCAGTATAACCAGGTCCTTTGCAGAGATTCATGAATAGCTGATGGCTGAGTCTGCATATTCCTTGCCTTGAACATTGGTGTGTCCAGGGACCCAGCAAAAAAAAAAAATGTATGTGCTAGAAATGCAATACAACCATTGTTATACCGTTTATGTAAAATTATTTTTATGTGGAGAGTCCGGAACAGCAACGAATGACACACAGTTGCAGTGTTTGATAGCAATGAGCGATTGCATATAGCTCTGAAAATGGGTGATTCTGTAAATGCCCTGTTTACTTTTTTTGGAAAATTAGCTGCATTTGATTCCTTTGGGGGAATTTGGGGGCCTTCAGTTACAGGGCTATGCATGAGATGTGGTCAAAATTTTTAAGAGGCAAGTTTATAGACATAATCCCTTTGGGGCACAGGGGGGAAAGTCAAATTAAATCATCAGAAGGGAAAAAAAAAGAAAGATAAAAGGTTAAAATTTTGGGTTTGGAAATGCAAGAGGGTTTTGGCAGCAAAAATTTAGTGAATTTGTCTTATAACTTTGGAATGTAATTGTTTGTTATGGAAGGTTTTGGGTCATAGACAAAAAGAGAAACAAGGGGATTGCATTAAACTTGTTTTGTTCTTATGCAAGCCCTCACTGGGAAGGTCGAAAGAGATATAGACAGAGTAATCTTGATGAATGGAATAGTTTAGAAGAGTAGCAGGGGCTGAGGATAAGATGTTTCCAAGTTTAGCTGGTATTAATTACAATATTGGGTAAGATTACCAATGAGTCATATACAAATCTGGTAAGGGACAGACAATCATTTGTGGCCCCCAATGCCCTCATCTACATGGTTAGACAAGATATAGGAATTATTATAGACTTTGAGAAGGGTTTCTCAGTCAAATCAAAAGAAAAAGGAGGAAGTATGAGTAATCATCTGCCCGAGTATTTACCATCATTTTAAGGAGTGTACACGATTCCGTAGACTGCATATCTGTGAGTGAGCTAAGCAGTTGACGGGATCATAGTGGAATCATCACTAGTCGAGTAGGTATTGTGTCCAAAGGTTAACAAGCGTTTGAAGAATTCTTGTAAAAGTGGCATGATGCGCAGTGTCTGGACAGTGTGATGAATGGTTTGAAAAACGACAGTTGAAGATTGACCTATCATGCCAATGGAATCTTTATCAGGAAACGTTTCGCCACACAGTGGCTCATCAGTCATTACAAGAGGCGAAGAGAGGAGAGTGAGGTAAGTCAGTCCTCACTGGAGTCGAGTGTTCAGTCCTCAATCTGTAGTGTACACATAGGTCTAGACGGGTTTATACTTTAGTAGTGACTTGAAGCAGTTGGAGGCGGGATCATAGTGGTATTCATCCACTAGTCGAAGTAGGTTGATGTTCAAAGTTGACAACGTGAGATTATTGGTAGAAGTCCAGATGGAGTGTCTGACAGGAATGTGATGAATGTTTGAAAACGACAAGTTGAGATGTAGACACTTATGCAGCAATGGGATTCTTTTAAACTTCAGAAAGTTTCGCCACACAGTGGCTTCAATCAGTCCATTAAAGAGGAAGGCTAAGAGAGGAGTAGGTAATCAGTCCCTCAGCCATGAGTCGTGTTTTCAGTCCATCATCTAGAGAGTGTACAGCATAGGGCCGTAAACTGGCTTATATACTGTGTGAGGTGACTGAAGCAGTTTGGGGCGGGATCATATGTATCATCCACTAGTCGAAGTAGGTCTTTGTCAAATGAAAGGTTGCACAACCAAGTCGTAGAAGACCCATGATGCTGCAGTGTTGACAGTTGTGATGAATGGTTTGAAAACCGACAAGTTGAAGATTGAGACACTTATGCTGCATATGGGAATCTTTATTCAGAAACTTTCGCCGAACACAGTGAACCACGGTGGCGAAACGTTCCTGAATAAAGATTCCCATAGGTGCTGCATAAGTCTCATCATTCAATGTCGGTTTTCAAACCATTCATCACACTGTCAGACACTGCACAATCATGGGATTCTTACAAATGAATTCTTCACGCTGTTCACCTTTGGACAAAGACCTACTTCGACTAGTGGATGTGACACTATGATCCCGCTCCACTGCTTAAGTCATCTCATACAGATATAAGCCAGTCTACGGCCCTATGTGTACACTCTACAAGATTGATGGACTGAACACATCGACTCCAGGCTGAGGGACTGATTACCTCATACTCCTCCTCTCCTTACGCCTTCCTCTTTGTAATGGACTGATGAAGCCACTGTGTGGCGAAACGTTTCCTGAATAAAGATTCCCATATGCTGCATAAGTGTCTCAATCTTCAACTTGTCGGTTTTTCAAACCATTCATCACATAATTCTACATACTGTTCAATGTCAAAAAAGTTAACACCAATGGGTAATAAAAATTCATGTAGCATTCATTTAATTTATTACTTAAAATATGGGAGAAAGAACCTGGTATAATGTCTAGGTACATATTCACAGAATACAAATTACCATAAATTAAACAGAAAGGAATCATAATATTTAGATTGGATGACAAACATATCGAAGCTAAAGCCATGTGGAGCAGCACTAAACAAAGCTTTATTATCAGGGACACACCATGGGCTAGAGCCTTGATTTTCAAAGGTAAACCTGAACTTTAGTCATAGATGAAACCTTGGGCAACATCAGAGGCAACAACCCATGAAGTGTGGAAATTATTGTCGCCATCTAATGTTAATAGGCGGAATTGGGCACAAACCTGTCGTTACTATACATGGCTACAAGACGACACTAAGGCACTTAAAAAACATATTGTGGTTTTTTTGTACTGTAAACCGTTGGGAGGATTTCATGGAGCACCTAAAGTTAAACTGTGTACCTATTCATAGCTACAGGAGTAAAGTTAACTGGTACTGTGTAAGGTAACATACCAACATACACTTCAAGGTTTGTGATGACTGTTAACTGGTACTGTGAAAGTTTATCAAAAGTTTGTCTTTTCTATTTCCCAAATATGTGAGGAGGATAATACTAGAAAATATAGTGAATTATTATCAAAAAGTGCTAAACAATGTAGTGAAATCAGAGACATTACCACTAGCTTTGTATGAGTTACTGAGCCATGACCTAAAAACTAAGTTTTATAAATCTTGTTTTGCCAGGTTTTGAGCATATATTAGCTGAACTGGCACTGTGACCAAACATGGACAATGTTGATGGAAAATTTTTTATGATTTTTATCATATGATAATCCAAGGGTGGAGGGGCACTATTTGTACAGTACATTAATACATTGATGAGGGAGAGCTAAACCCATACAGGGTCATACAATTCCAGGGAATGGGAGGCAGTCAGCTTTGATCCAAGGGATGATACGAGAGTACCAATTCTTTAAAACCACAAGTCCTTCACCAGCATCAAGGTACATCCATTGAAGGGATCAAGTTGCCTCAGTACTGGTGAAAGAATTGGAACCATCCTCTGTTTCCTTGGATTGAATTAGACTGCCTTCCATTCTTTAGTGCTTCATGGCCCCTACAGGTTCAGTGCTCCTCTTGAATTTTATTAATAATGGACTGGAAATAGTGCTGCCCTTCTCATGGATGATCACATAATCAGGCAACAGGCCACAAATACAACTGACATTTTAGTGTGGCAACATTTTGCTCTCCAGGAGTTTTGTCAAGCCATAATGGCTTGACAAAGCTCCTGCAGAGTGAAATGTTGCCACACTAAAATGTCATATTAGTTATACTTGTCCTTTTACATAAGAAAATTTCCATCAAAATTTTTCATGCCTGACCACAGTTCATAAGTGAAAGACTGGTTGCAGGGAGGTTGGGATTCAAGAAATAGTCTATTTTCCCTGCCCAAGTTACTTATGATGATCAGTTCTTGGGGAAGTGGACTCTTATAATACTGCTGTATAAATTATAATCAAAGAAAGTGCTAAACCAACAAGGGTCATACAGCATTTTGTACCCTTAGACTTGAAAGCGTGTTAGACCAATGCGTTTATTGGCTTAAGATCCTTCAGAACATCCTCCCCTGGCTAATGTGACAACCGTGACGACAGATTAACCCGTTACCAACTTTCAGTAAGATAAGCCAGCAGCAGTGTTAGCAGCAGCAGTAGCAGCATAAGGAATCACCTGGATAAGTTGTCAATGCTAACTCTGTGCCAGACTTTGCCAAATCATAATTTAAATGGAGTTTGGGCTTAGGGTACAGCAAAGATCTTAAAAAGTTTTAGAGCAGAAATGAGTTTGTGAAATGGCAGATGGCTGGCAATGTCTGGCTTCCTTTTGACAACCATGAAGTTCATCAATATAATGAGGAGTGGCAAGTACTAAGACTATGGTTGTCAGGCTGAATGTTTAGGAGCAAACAGCCAAGAATCCCTTAGTCTGTGGTGCTTTCCACTCCCATCAATTCCAAGGTGGACACCCTAGTTCCTATAGCACAAGGGGCACATTCAACATTTAGGAACGATGACTGTGGCTAAAGAATTTGTGAATTGACATAACAGTTTCTTTCTCCCAAGTCTTACACTACTAAGGTACTACAACCCACCCATACATCCTAGTGAACAAACAAAGATTCAGTTCACCCACTATTTTTTTTCATTCAACCAAATAATTCTCTGAAAACTTTATAAATTATAAATTTCATTTGCGTATCAGACATAAAACGCTTAAAAATCAATATACAATTTTTAAGACTTTGGCATACTTATGTAAAGTGTATCAATACGCTATTAAAAGAACAATTTTCTTTCATTAGCACCATAAGAAAAATAAACCTCCCATTCTGGTTAAATAAAGATATATGTTTGAATAGAATAAAAAATGCAGTGTGAATAATGTTATGATTGCCATTAATTACCCATAAAATGTGTACCATACATCTCCAGGACATGTCAGTTCAGAAGAAAACTTAAAATTCCCTTTCCTACCTATTCTCAAACATACGTACTGTCCGCCTTTAATACTAAACACCCTCGAGAAACTACATTGCTGGCTGAGAAAAGGAAAAAAAAAAAAAAATGCCATTTTACCATGAAAAAATTACAAATTGGTGTTTTAATGTGAAACTACAAAAATTATGAATTCTGATGCTGCCCTTGCCCTGTCGAGGCAATAACCTTAGCGCTATGACATACCAAGGCGAGACAGGATTCATGATAACCATAGGAGTATTTTCTAATTATTGCTTTGGAGCTATCCAAACTTTCTTAGCAACATTCTAACTCTGGTTATGAAGAATCCTACCCCCCTCCTGTTGTTAAGAGCGAGAGCTGAACTGTCAAGCCTACACTAGGGTGTTACATGCCTTATATTAAGTTAAATGGGTGATATGCACATTAAAGACCATGCCAACATCAACTCTCATGGCATCAGTAATGCAATGGCCAGTGTTTGCCAGTTCCAGAGAATGCCACCTATCGTCATTAGCTGAGCTTAACCAAAATACGTTATCTACCATTTCTGAGTCACCTCCAAGAGAAGTGACAGGCCACATTGTCAGGGAGACAGAGCTCAGAGAGCACTGGGATTGTAGGGTGACATTACCAAAGTAAGAGGTAATATCAAATAGGGAGTGCCTTTGGTGAGGGTAACCTCCATGTGATGGGTGTTAAATCTTGAATGAATTACCAAAGGCACACATTCGTGTTCTTGTTATACTCCCTTGTCAGTCACAGTTCATTAGGAATAGTCCACTAGTCTCTGTATAAGCAAATTATTGCAGTTCACAGAACTAGTTACTCAAGACTGTGTTTCATTATCCACAACTAGTTACTCAGATGGTTTTATTATCCAAGTAACAAATCAATGAGAGATGGGGTCCACATGTCTGTCACCCCAAGCCACACCAGAGTTAAGGGTTTTGAACTCAATCCACCCTCAGCCAGGAGAGGAAGAAGTTCCCTGTGATTTAACAAATCCAGGCAAGACATTCCTAGCAACTCTTTTACCTTCAGAAGGTTGAATGCATGCATTATTCCTCTCCTCCACAACTGGGAGACCTATTTGGTCATAATCGGTATTGTCGGAAACTTATTGCTTGGAAAGCACTATTTCATGGTTCCATACACTATCATCATTTGGAAAATCACCAAAAAGTCAATATTGTACAATCATCCACTGTACTTGCATGCTTGTCTTGAATAAATCAGTGATTTATTTCTGTTAGAAAATAAATAAATATACAGAACACTTGTATCAAATATTCACACTGCTCTATATAATACATACAACCCAGATTTACTAGATACATCTTACACAATATTATCACACCTACTAAACACTGGCAATTTTACCCAAAATCACTAATTTGTCATACTTTATCAAGGTATAACTTATGAAATTTATAGAAAAATACGAAACCAACATGTAAAAGTAGTACATGGGTGTGTGTGTGCAGGACGCAAGCCACTCCCCTTCAGAGGCATGAACAGCTAGCATCACGTCCTGCATGGCAGGGCCTTTAACTGTCCTGTCCTTAACACAGCCACCACATCTGGCCATGTTATTTCACCCAGGTGGCTCGCTGCACTCCTGGTTAAGAGCATTCTTGAAGATGTATGCAACTCCACATAGCATGTCCATAGAATCAAATCAATCCAGGGTGTGTAGCTTGCCATATATGTACACCAGACCATGGTATGTACATGGGAGCAGGCTATTTATGCCTGGCTTTGAGAACAGGCTAAGGAACAAATATACAGTATAGCATGTCACTGGGGCTCAGACGGGTGGGGGACCATGTACATAGCGAACCTGAGGACTCAGTGATAGATTAAGGGTGTTAACATGGTCACAACAGTTTGGTTCTAACAAGCATGCTACACAGAACAACAGCAAGAGGGCAGCCTGGAATGGTAATGCTGCTCGCACTACTCTCCACATCCACCCTCGACGCCCGCTCACTCCACCTATGCTGTTGCCTCGGCGGGAAGCTCTTCCAACCTTTGAGTCTCTTGTCCAACTGCGTCTCCTGTAAACAAAACACACATTTTACTGAAACAATTGTATACAACAGGTTAAAAATTGTCTTAATAAAAATTACATCCTATATATGACAAGGTGAGCCATTGAATAGACAGGGGAGGGTTGTTACATTCTGGCACCTGTGTAATTAAAAACATAAAAAGAGAGAGCTTTAGTACGATACAAGGCTGTTTTCTCTCGTCAGATTCTTCCCTGTCTGAGGTGCCTTTTATGGCACATTTATCTTATAGAAACTTTCCATGAAAGCTGAATATACCAGATTTTTTCGGAGCAATTGAGCCAATAGTGTCATCATGACCATTTTCCACTTTGAGAATTTTTTTTTTTTTTCACCATTTTTAGCTGGGTTTTCAAAATTCCTTAAAATGACACCAGGGGTAATATTTTCTATGCTGATTCAGAATATACACTTAAAAATGTAAAACTGGGTCATTTTAGCATCATTTGAGGCCCTCCTTTTCTGCTAAATCCTAATAAGGGAAGCTAATATTTTCATTAAGACTATTCATTACAGGAAATAACTAAAAATCATGAAAAATAACTAAAAATTTAGAAAAATAACCATAAATTATAAAAAACAACTAAACTTTACCACAAAAACAATCACTCCACCTGAACTAGTTTTGATGGTACTTAACCCTTTCACTGTCGGTGTTGTATTAATATGCCAAAATTCTAGTGGCTTCAAATCTACCGAGAGAAAGCTGGTACACCTACATGTGAGAGAATGGGTCTACGTGGTCAGTGTATGCAGTATTTAAAAAAAAAAAAAAAAAAAAAAAAAAAAAAAAAAAAAAAAAAAAAAATGCAGCATGCAATGCATGGTTTAAAATGCCAACTGATGTGAATTTGTGTATGGTATTTATGGTTGTATTCTCATTTTCTTGGTCTTATTTGATAGAATGGAAGTTATATTACAGAAACAGAGATGATTGTGATTGGTTTCACGATGAAAAGTGAAGAGTACCTTGAAACTGAGCTCAAAATAGCAGAGGTTATTCAGGGGATCAATGCCCCCCCGGCCCAGTCCATGACCAGGCCTCCCGATGGATCAGGGCCTGACTAACTAGGCTGTTACTGCTGGCCGCACGCAGTCCAACGTACGAGCCACAGCCCGGCTGATCCGGCACTGACTTTAGGTATCTGTCCAGCTCTCTTGAAGGCAGCCATGGGTTTATTGGCAATTCCCCTAATGCTTGATGGGAGGCTGTTGAACAGTCTTGGGCCCCAGACACTTATGGTGTTTTCCCTTAGTGTACCAATGGCGCCCCTACTTTTAATTGGGGGGCATTTTGCATCGCCTGCCCAGTCTTTTACTTTCATAGGGAGTGATTTCTGTGTGCAGATTTGGGACCATTCCTTCCAAGATTTTCCAAGTGTAGATTATGATATCTCTCTCCCTCCTGCGTTCCAACGAGTACAAGTCAAGTGCTTCCAAGCGTTCCCAGTAGTTAAGGTGCTTGACAGAACTTATACGTGCAGTAAAGGATCTCTGTACACTCTCTAGATCTGCGATTTCACCTGCTTTGAATGGAGATGTTAATGTACAGCAGTATTCCAGACTAGAGAGAACAAGTGATTTGAAAAGGATCATTGGCTTGGCATCTCTCATTTTGAACGTTCTCATTATCCATCCATCCTATCATTTTCTTTGCACGTGCGATCGTGGCACTGTTGTGATCCTTGAAAGTGAGACACTACTACTCCCAGGTCCCTTACATTATTTTTCCGCTCTATTGTATGGCCAGAGTCTGTAGTGTACTCTGTTCTAGTTATTATCTCCTCCAGTTTTCCATAACTGAGTAGTTGGAATTTGTCCTCATTGAACATCATATTGTTTTCCATTTCCCACTGGAAAACTTTGTTTATATCTTGTTGGAGGTTAACCGCGTTCTCAGCAGATGACAGCCTCATGCAGATCCTAGTATCATCCGGAAAGGATGATACGGTGCTGTGATGTATATCTCTGTCTGTCTGATACGAGGATGAGGAATAAGATGAGGGCGAGTACTGTGCCTTGTGGAACAGAGCTCTTCACTATGGCAGCCTCCGATTCAACTCGGTTGACCACTACTCTTTGTGTTCGATTTGTTAGGAAGTTGAAGATCCATCTCCCCACTTCCCAGTTATTCCTTTAGTACGTATTTTATGGGCTATTACGCCATGATCGCATTTGTCAAATGCTTTTGCAAAGTCTGTGCATATTACATCTGCATTCTGATTTTCTTCCAGTGCATCCAAGGCCATATCATAGTGATCCAGTAATTGTGAGAGGCAGGAGTGACCTGCCCTGAACCCATGTTGCCCTGGATTGTGCAGATTTTGGGAATCCAGGTGATTTGCAATCCTGCTTCTTAGCACTCTTTCAAAGAATTTTATGATGTGGGACGTCAGAGCTATTGGTCTATAGTTCTTAGCTAATGCTTTGCTGCCACCTTTATGGAGTGGGGCTATATCCGTTGTTTTAAGTGACTGGAATTTCACCCATGTCCAAGCTCCTTCTCCATAGTGTACTTAGGGCACGCGAGAGGGGTTTCTTGCAGTTCTTAATGAAAACAGAGTTCCACAAGTCTGGGCCCGGGGCTGAGTTCAATTTTTGCCAATGTTCAAGAGTAAACGAGTGACGTCACTGTCCAATACGTGTCCAACTGGCCAGTCTAAGAGTCATGAATGGGTTGACATTATTTATACAACTATTACAATAATGCAGTAGTCTGTATAACAGTAAATCTTCTATTTTCTGTGTGAATAAAAATTCAAAATGGAAAGCAAGAGTAATAGTATAAGAGGGGCCTGAAGACATGACTAATGAACAGAGAAAATGTTATTCTAGTGCCAGCAATGTCTGCATTGTTTATTCTGGACCCTATTTTGAAATTGGCATTTTTTGAAATTTGTGTAAAGCTGGCCAAATTGCCAATTTCTGACCACTTTACTGGGTAGTTGAAATTGGTAAATGGATAGTTTCTTGTGCTCAATCGACAGAATAAATGGAGTTCTAGAGCATAATTCCGTAAGTTTTCCATTAAATTTCATACTTTTGGTGTCATTACCATCAGAAAAAGATTCTCTAAGATTTTTTTTTTTTTTTTTTTTTTTGAAAATTCTTCAACACTGAGAGCAAGTTTGTTAGCAGGGGTCTCAACAGTGAAAGGGTTAAAAAAAAAAAAAAAAGGGGGGGGGGGGGATTCACTTTGTAAGTAGCCTGGAATCTAACCTGCTGTACAAGTGGGGCCTTTCTGTAATTTTTTTTTTTTTTTACTCTAAGGCTGTCTCCTGCTATAGCAGCATGACCCAAACAAGAGAACACATTCACTCAATTGCCATCTGTCCAGAAGTGTGCTGACATCACTATCAGATTACCCCTCCAACTGCAACATTCCCACCCTTTTTTCAAAGTGCAGGCACTGCAATTCCCAAAGCCTAGACTCAAATCCAGCTAACCAGTTTCCCTGAATCCTTTTATAAAGGTTATCCTGCTCACACTCCAACAGCTAGATGCTTAAGCCCCTAAAACTCAGACTTTTGTACCCCCTCCCTCCAACCATTCCTGGGATTACTCCTACCTTCCACCCCAGATTTACACCCCATTTGTCAACCTATCCCTGTCCATCCTTAATACCTGCCCAACCCACTTATATATTACAATTTAACAACATTCGTTCATAATATAAGCAACCCTGAAATATAAAAACGTATATCGAACCTGAGCTGTGGTGACGTCTTTGCCTGGTCAAGGGTCTCTGCAGATCGGACCACTAACTCTCGGCAATGCTTCTGCAATCCTTTCAACTCAGTCTCAGCAGTTGATAGCGTCTGAAAGTAACATACAATCCAATGTAATAATAATCACGATATAATCCACTTTATTTACAAACTGAGGTTATTATTAAATTATTTAAAATTTAAAGTTCCAAAAATTTCATATTGCAAATATTTTTCAAATCAAAAAAAGCTAAATTTTTTTTATAAAAATTTCCCCTTTAAAGGGAATGAAACTAAAAACTACCTTAAAAAAAAGGGGCAGCCCAATTTGAAAATTTGGGGGTTGAAGAGTTTCTTCCAGGTCCCTGCAACCTTCGAAAGGATGTCCAGGCGGGTTCACGCTCATTCAGCTTTCTGAAGAACAAGACTAAAAAAACCCAGAGGTTCCAGAGTCACAAAGGGACTTTTCCATCACCTGAGGTTTCCAAAGGGGAACAGTTGTCCTGGGATGTCTCCACTCGAAAGAAAAATATAGCGTTTACTATTATTGACCAACTAAAATATAGAACCCTATGTACAGTTTTCCCCCTTCTCAGGCCAAAAAAACCCTTTGGCCTAAAGTGAGGAAATTTTTAAAATTTGGGGGAAAAAAAAGCAGTTTTAAAATAACATTATGAATGACAATTTAAAGGGTTTTTTCCAAGGGAGTTTTCCTACTCCCACACCCCAACCCCTTGGGTCAATTTGCCCGGGTTTTGCTTACTTGGTAAAACGGGCTGTTGCCTGCTCACATATCCACTGCGACTAAATTGCTCCGCATTTTGTGTAGGTACATAAAAAATTTTCCTCTTCAAGGCTTTAAACCACTTTTTTCCCCATTTGTGTTTCAGTATTCTTTGTTTAAAAGTGTTTGACCCTTTAAAATTTTCCCAAAACCCCGAATTTAATATTTTCTCAGGATCCACTTTAAAAAAAAAAATTCTTCTGAAATAATAAAATTTTTCTCGGGAAAATAAGGGAAACCAAAATTTATAAAATTTGATAAAAACACTTGCAGAATTATGTAGGTGCAAAGTTGCACCCTCGGCGCAGTTACCCCGGTTGGCAATTTCATGCATTTGAGTCTTATTTTTAAGCCAATTCCATTGACCCAAATTTAAAACCAAATTTTTAGCTACAATTAATATCGGTTTACAAAATCTTCTCCCTTTGCTCCAGTGAATCCCAGTCGGGTGCCACAAAAACGACTTTTTCGGTCAGCAAAGGACCAACAATATAAACCCCAAAAATTTTAAAAAAGGGCTCAAAAATGCCTATTCCCCTAGGGGACATAAATATTTTTTCTAGCAAAAAAATCCCTCTGTCTAGTGCCCCCAATTTTGGGGATGTTTTTTAAAAAAACTATCAGAAACAGTTTTCCAGTGAAAAAAAATTGTCAAGAAAAAGATACACAATGATATTTCCCAAATATTTAAGGGTTATTTTCTAAATGCTTTTTAAATTTTAAACCCCTTTTTCAGGGCCCGTCCCGTAGATTACGGCTTTTCGGTGAGTGTCCAAAAACCTTTAAGATCTACGAAAAAAAATTCTAGCCCCGAAAAATTTTTGGGAGCAAAAAGTGCTCATGGGGCCCTACATGTGGGGAGAATGGGTCGGGTGCAGTGGGGTGCGCCGTAAACAAAAAATCGGCCCCCTGATAGCATTGGGGGAACGCCGGCTCAGTCACCCTTTTCCCATCCCTCGTCGCAAGTCAGCCTAAACCCCCCAAAAATTGGGGGGACTCTCCTTTCCTTTTCTGATAGGTTTGACACTTGAATTTTGCAAATGAAAAACAAATTTCTACGGCTTTGATAATTTTAGTGACAAAAAATAATGACCAGGAAATCGATAATAGTGCAAAAAAACCCCGCCAAACCTGGGACCTTCTACCTCTGGTGTGGGAAATCGTGACTAAAGGTCGGGTGTTCCAAACGTAAGAAAAAAATAATATTTTCGGTGGCCAGGCCTCTAAACTTCAGTAATACGATGATTTGACTGGATTGTGATTTTTTTTGCGCTCGACGATAAATTCGGGGTAGTGACGTGGGGGGAACAAAATTCTCCGTGAAGCTTTGGGTTTTATTTTCCCGCAGCCGCATGCGTTTCGGGTATTTTACCCTTTGCTGTCCCCAGGGGAGGGAAAGTCATTCCCGGGGCCCCCTACCCCCCTTTTAGGTATGATAGTGAGGTGATGGGGTACCCCTTGGGGCATGGAGGGCCCACAGGCATCAGTGGATGGTTTTTTAGTGGTCCCCTGGTGGTGGTAGTGGCACCCCATGCTTTGACTCACCGTGCCCACGCGGGGACCCCCGCTGCTGCTGTCAGAAAAAGGGAAAAAAGCGGACATCAGCCACCAGCCCCCAAAACCAAACCACCCGTAAAAACCACCCTATGATTCCAGTACCCACCAAAAAACCCGTATGTGGGATTGGCAGCAAAAACCCCCAATTTTTTTTCCCAAGCCTCACCACTTTGATGCCTTCAAAGTGGAATTTCTACCTACCTGTCCCCCTTGAACCACACCCAAAAGAATTTGGGAAATTTTTTTGAATTATTCTTTGACCACCCCATTGATGGAAATTTTTTTGCCGGGGAAAAAGTAATAAGTTTTTTCAGTACACGCCAAATACGATTTTAAATCACCACAGTCAAGACTACACGGGGGGAAAAGAGCGCTGTTGCAAAATGTATTTGTTTTTTGCAAAAATAATGCTTATGCCTCACGCCCTTAAAAGGGGCATAATTAAAAGCATATGGCCCACAGATGGGGTTTAATTTTTCCCCCCCAACCCTTCGGGTTGAAATAATCCCAGTAAAAACGGGTTTTTTATCTTACTGTTACGTATTTTTGGCCATTTTCTCGGGCCCAAAAACCCACCTGACAGAAGTGCGGGTTTATAAAAGGGTTTAGAAATTTTTTCATGTATCTCAAAAAAAAGTTAAGGTTTAAATTTTATCCATTAAAGGGAATTTGTAATTGACGAGTCTTTATTTTGTTCAAAGGAAAGGACTGCATTCAAGCAGTTTATACCGAGCAAGGGGAAACCGCTTTGGTAAAATTGGTTTGTACTCGGTGATTGTGACAGGGGCCGGGTTTTGGGATTTTTGTTGTAAACAGGGGTAGTAAAACATTAAAAGGGATACCAAGATGTTTTTGGGGTTTTAATTTTCAGGGGGACGTAGTGAAAAACATGTTTGGCCCCTTATTTGGAAAGGGGCCCATACATTATATACCGAAACTGGTACAAAAACCCCCATTACTCAGTGTTTTTCAGGGCGGTAAAAAAAGGCAAAAGTGTTTGGCACGGGAAGTTTCTAATCTTTAAACATATCCCAAGGCTCAACGCGGTGTTCGGGGTTTGATGACTTGCGGTGTTTACTCCCAATGAAATCATGGCAAAAACCGGTGGCATGACAAACGAGATGCACATTTTTGGGAAAAACCATTCACCTTTAATAAAAAGCAAGACAGGGGCAAATTTTGATCAAAGTGACAATGAAGTTTTCGAAAACCCAAAGGTCGGGAAATTGATTAAAACCAAAAAAACATGCGTTTGGGTTTTGACAAGTGTGACAGCAGTTTTGGTTTTGTTGACTGTTTCGTAAGAGTTAAAAGTGGACTTGAAACTTTTTTCCATTCAGGGGCTTTTCAAGGGGCTAAATTTGAAATTTAAATTACCAAATAAAGACGGGTTTTAAAGCCCCAACCGTATGGTGAATTTTGTTTGGGGCGGGCGCAACTCATAATGAAGTCCCAGGAAACCAACACCTGCAATAAACAGGGGCCTGGGAATTAAACACAATATACCCAAGCATTTGGGGAGAGAAGGTGATCTTTTTCATAATACATTTCCCTTCAACTCAAAAAAAAATTTTTGCTCGAAGAGATGCATTTTTCTGTGCACAAACAAAACGACGGCAAAAAAAGACCAAAGGGCACTCGGGTTTTTTGTGTGAGGAATGTAAGGGTGCCTTGTGCATGGTTTTCCGGTTTTAAGGAATTCCACAAGCTCCAGCAAATTCTAAAAACCTTCCCGTGATTGTAAATTTTGTAAATTAAAGAAGGGAAAATTTGTATTATACAATATTTGGCATGTTTTTTTTTTAATAAAAAAACAGGGGGTAAACCCAAAAATATGATAATAAATTAAGGGGCGGTTTTTTTGTTTTCAATACAAGGGGATTTATATATAAACAATTATATACAGTATTGGTCTTAGGCCCCCAAAAGTTAGAAGGAATAGAAAAAAAAAAGGAAAAAGAAAAGAAAAAAAACCCAAAACCCAAAAAAAATAATATAAACGCGTACGTGGAAAATTTGTTTATGTTTTCCACCACCAAAATCATTTTCTATAAACTTCTTGGCACTGTTTTTCGGGGAAGTACTGATTTAGAAATTTTAATTTTTTTTGTTTTTTACCTTTACCAAAATATGCTCTTTAATTTTTAAGAAAAAAAATTTTTTTTTTTTTTTTAAAATTTCTTGGGGCACTGGTGCGTGACTTAGATTTTGGGCCCCTTTGGGCCCTGAAAAAGGGGGAAGCACCCTATAAAATAACTAATTTCAGTGAAACCAAAAGCTTTTATCATTAAATTATAACATCATCATCAAAGGGAGTTTTAAACCTTTATCTTTAATTCTTCAATTGATAATTTTCTACTTGAAAATTTAATTTTCTGTATTTTTCAGATATCATACACAATAGTGTTTTCTTTAAATATTAAATTTTCCTATTACTTGTTGACAGCTGGAGATAAAAGACAGACATTTCACAGAAATTTTCAAGGCCAAAAAAACCTTATTATTTCACAATTTTTAGAATCTGAACAAATTAAAACCCTTTTAAGGGGGCTGTTTCCCCGGGAGATCTATTGGGGGTTCACGTTTAATGTCCAAAAACCCTAGATCTACGCCCCAAAAAAAAAAGCGCCGTCAAATTAGCGCAAAAGGCTCATAGGCCACATGTGAGAGAACGGGGTCTGTGTGGGGGGGTGTTTTGCCAAAAAACAAAAAATTTTTAGGGCGCCCACATAGCATTTTTGGGAACGCCGGCTCAGTTTCCCTTGTTCAC